GAGAAGCCGTGTGCATTGCAGAAGGGCAGGTGCAGAATCAAGCAGTTTCGCGCTGGCTGCCCAAAGTGCTTATGCGTGTGTGCACAGACCCAGTCGCTGACCTACAGACCTTGCAAACTAAGTACAAAATGGTACAGTTCAGGCACAGCGTGTGCTAGATGAAGAGTGGGCAGGTTTAATTTACCCCAGAATGATGGAGATTTCTTCGAGAATGGCAATATTTCTTAGTTTGGCCAACTAGAGCTGATAAATCATTTCCCTTTAATGATGCAGAAAAGGTGCTTAGCATTTCTGCTGCGGTGGCAGCTCTCAGTGATTAACAAGGCAAAACACAAAAACAACCCATCAGCAAAAAAACTTGTGAGCCTTAAACACACGCACACGTGCACACACACACACACTGATGTATAAAGTTTGTACAAACTGGTTTTCTTCTGTCTGCTAAGAAACAAGGCTGCTACCTATGAAATGGAGAGGAAAACTTGGTGGTAGAGAGAAAGACTTGAATATCCCCTACAAAAGCAAAAATCACATCTTTCGTGCCAAGTCACTTTCCGGTTATAAATGTTACAAGGATCCCTTGAACTTGTCCAATTTTGTAATAAGACTTTGCCGCCCTATATCCCTCCATATTGGGTTTGACAAGGGATATCTCATGACAATCTGATTAACACCAGATTACAATATAGTGCTTTTTAAAGAGCTTAACGAAAACAAACAAAAACAAAAAATCCCAAACCAAATTTGGCACATGGTCACAGATCCCATATAATCAGGTCTCCTTGACTAAATCACGGACTGTGTGTTCATCAAGAACAAGGAATAAACTGATAACCAACCCTGCTCCCAGCAATCTGCTTCTTAAATCTCTCTTTCCCAGCAGTGCGTCAGCAGCACAAGTGTCCCATTTCATGCATTGTTCTCCCGCTGATGGACTCGCGACGCAAGCAGATCCGTCCTGGACGCCCCATGACACCCATCCAGCGATTCCTTCCGTGTTTCCAGCAAAACCTGCAGTTTGGAAGATCACCGTGGCTGTGAGGGCGGGGAGAAGTGCTATCAGGATCGTGTCGTGTTGTGTCAGGCAACGCAGAGTGACTGAGGCAGTGTGTGGATCGGGCTCTTTGCCCTTTCGGCCAGAGGGAAACACGACAGGCAGATCTAGCCGGGCTCGATTCATGAGACGTGTGTAACTCTTGCATTGTGACGTGGCAGGATAAGTGTCACTTGTGCGCTTGACTGACCATGAGACTCTCAAGGTAGCACTGGAGGATGTCACCTTTTCCCAACTGGATGTCCTCCAGATGTTGGACTGCATCACCCCAGTGGTCAGGCCATTGGCCCTCTTGACAGGGGACGGTGAGACTTGTGGGTTAGCCCAAGACACCATGTTGGATAAGGCTTTGCTTAAAGATGTAGTTATATCTTGATTCACAGTTGTGGGGGGGAGGTGTCCAAAATTTTTGGAACCTCCACATGTGGGAATGATTCATTTAACTCTTACTATCCAGGCCAGGTTTTATTAGTAAAACTTAATTTTGATAGCTTTATGATTTTAGGGTTATTGGTGCTAATTGTCTTGTTTTATATTGTGCTTGTTGTAATGGATTTTAATGATATGAGCCAACGGGAGAGCCTAGCGCTGGTGGGGCGGCATACAAATCAAATAAATTAATAAATACTCCCTCCCCATCCTTTTGGGTCTTGGCAGAAATTGAATGGGCTCCGCCTCCCCCCCCTTTTTTGGCTTGGCTTGAATGGGCTCGGTCGGTGATGGAAAAAGTCCTTGCTTTTATGGGGGGAGCTTGGAGCAAAACACCCCACGGGGCCCATGTCATTGGGTTCACCTTCTTCCTACCATTGTCTCCAGCTCCTCTTGCACCTCCTTCTAGGTGTCACAGATGCGACAGTTTCTTGAAAGGCAAAGCGCCAGGCAGCAAGCAGGGAGAGGCATCTACTTATTCTTTTCACCCATTTAAAGGACGTCAGTGGATCTAACCCAACTCTACATGAAAAAACAATGAATATTTTTCAGCGGTCTTCTCATTCATATGTCTCATTCTCTTAGGGAAACTTTGAGCTAGCAAGGGAATTAACATGGTATATTTTAATTGTTATGTTTGTTTATATCCCACCTTTTTTCCTTCCCAGGAATTCAAGGTGGCTTACATAATTTTTCTCTTCCTCTCAGCTTGAACCTCTCAACAACAACCCTGTCAGGTAGGCTGGGCTGAGAGTCTGTGCCTGGCCCAAAGTCACCCAGTGAGTTTCATGGCTGAGTGGGAACAAGAATCCAGATTGCCTGAGCCCAAATCCAACATCTACACAAAATTGAAAAACCCAGGCATGAGGGTAAATATACACGCACATAAACAGAAATGCCATCACTTTAATGAAGGTTTTTAACACTCTTTAATGAAGAGCAATCCATTTGCCATTTATGGACTTAGAACACTTGGTCATTTAAGAACCGAGTGTTATACTAGGTGATAGGAAACAGATTTGAGTGGATGCATTGGACCTTCCCTGATACCTACATATGCTGCATTTAGCAGGGAGGGCAAAAATGTGATGGAGCTCTGGCCCTAAATTGAGCTCTGGCCAATGCCTGAAGGCCACTCTTGTCCCTTAGGTGCCATGGCATGCCACAAGCTACCTGGTTCAGCAGAGAGCTCAGAACTGCAGCATTTTCAAAGGGACTGCGGTAGGCAAGGAAGCCTGATTTTGCAGCCAAGTCAATCTGGATCCAACCCTATTATACCTTGATACAGTTTGTGGCTTCTTAGATGAACTTGCTGAACAACGGAAATGAAATTCCTTTTTAGCGAAACTGTAGCCACATAACTCTCAGGGGTTGGATTCAAATTCAAGAAGAGCTGCTGAAGATTCTGCTGACTGTGTCAAGTTTGTAGCGATGCGAACATTAAACCTGCTTACCTCTAAACAAAAAAGAAGTCCCACTGGATCAAAGGAAAGGTGCATCTAGTCCAGTGGCCAGTTTCCCACAGCAGTCAACCAGAAGCCATTGGAAAAGCAAGAATGAACACAAGAACTCTGCTGATTCAAACCAAAGGGCTTTCTAACCCGCCATTTTGTTTGCACAGTGTCCAAGCAGATTGTGGGATGTCCAGGAGGAGGAGATGAGTGCAAGGGCGCCCTTCAGCTCATGCTCCCCAGAAATTGGTATAGAGGCATACTACCTCTGCTGGAGCTAATCTCAGCCATCATGTCTAGGAATGTGTGCGGAATCCATCTTGTGGGCCTGGGGGATCCATTCTCTTTATTCTGGTCTGCTATGACACAGCTGTGAGTCTAGCGCACCCCACATTCCTGTGACGCTCACCAGGAACCAAGTCCTATGCAAATGTATGCATAGGACACAGAAGGCTGCCGCCTGCACAGCCTTCATTCTGTGAAAGCTGGAGGGACAGAGTCCGTGAAGTTTTGACGGATCCCTAATGACGACTATCAGTCATTGATTGGCAGAAGCATGAGGTCAACTTGCTGCCGTGCATCAACAATTGACATTTGACAACACTGCTGCTTTTGCCTTCAGCTCCACCCATCCATGGAACGCAGCCCTTAAAGACTTTCCAAAATTGAACTCGGCCATCAGGCCGAAAGATGTTCAATGCCCCGGCCTGAATATTCTAGCTTTCTGCCTTTTTCTATCCTTAAGCCCTCTGCACTCCTTTCCACAGCCATTCTGCTTGCACAGCAACCCAGTTAGAACCAGAAATTTTTCCTGATCTTTGAAATCCAAAGACCGGTCCCTGAAGACATCTTCATACTGCTAAGCTAGGGTCTCTTCTGAATATGATGGGCTTGGACATGAATTCAGAAGGCATTTCTCAGGATGGTATCTTCACTTGTATCCTGTAACATTTCCTGATAATGATCAGCACTCAACTGACAAACATGTAACACTGTCTTACATGTAACACAGACGTTTGGTTTAACTCTTTCCCCCTTTTCTTAGGAAAAAAGTGGTATCAACTAACAGAAGTGAGAACACCTTCCGGATTGATAAGATGCAACAGGGCCGATCAGGATTTATTAGCCTCCCCTTGCCCCTTCAACAAGGTGTAAATACAATCAGCATTTAAAATTTACAACTTCAACAAATGTTTCATGGGGGAAATAAAGATGGGTTGACTCCTTAGTATACAACTCGGACTACAATAGTAAGGTAGAAATCGCTCTGCCTAGAGAAATGACAATAATCTCATTATCACATGACACCTGTGGAAGATGAATCCCAGCAGTACAACGTCAGTGTAAATTTCTTCAAGTTCTTAGCTTTTAATTGGAAAGATTGTGCCTTAGTTTTCCAATGGGACAGTCCTTTACATAGTTCATTTCATTTTGTTTTGGCATACATATTAGCACCTTCTTGATATTGTGCCCATTGTCCATAGGTGCATTATATCCTTTCATAGGTACATAACAGTTTTCAAGTGAAATACAGGTGCTATGTTTACAGAAGAGCTCTATATGTTAATAATCATGAAAGAAATTTTACATTGCTATAGCACCTTCCATTCCAAAAGATTTGAAAGAACTTTACAACGGAGTTAAAACTTACAAACAACTTTTTTCCACCAATTGTATTAAAGCCAACTATGGGCCAGATGTTTTTAACAACTATATTACAATGCATAGCCATATTACACATGGTTGAGGCCAAGAAGTTAAGGGCATTTGCTTCTACTAGTTATGTCCAGAAAGCAGATTCTTATCATCTACCCAAGTGAAGAGTGTGAAGAGGCCTCTAGAAGAACTCTTTATGTTCTAAGAAGAACTCAGATGATCAGAACTTCAGTTTTACACATCATCTGGAATGTGGCACTTCCGAGAACACCAATGGCACCTTTAAACCCATTGCATTTGAGGTCGTGTCTGTGATGACAACGCCACCTACTAGGTCGGTCAAAAGCAGTACTTCCTGTGACACCTACAGAAATGGACAATGCAAAATGAAATGAAGCAAAAGTGTCAGAAACAGTTTATAAAAATGGCACATTTATTGCTACAGAACGGTCATGTACATGACGGCATCGAATAACTACAGATGGGAAACAGGTAATGGCCTACAGAAAGCTGTTTCTCTTCTTGAAGGAACTGCAGCACACAACCTGTTTGGACACTTCTACAAATCAGAAATACACCAAAAACATGAAAAAAATTGAGGCACTCAGCCACACGTTGAAAACAAAGTGTAACTGTTTTATCTTTTTTTTTCTTTTTGTCCCTTTTATAATTTTTTCCCTTTTTTTCATTTTTTCTTTTCTTTTTCTTTTTAACTGTTGCAGCTATGTGTACAGTCGCAAAAAATTTCCCCACTGCGACCTACAACTAAAAAAAGAAAAAAAGAAAAAAGAAGTAGCTACCATACAATTTCATCTCGGTAACACATGGTAAAATAACATCTTTTAAATAGTAAAATAAAGTAACAAACTTTTACTCAGAATGATTCCAAAAATCTACAAAGAAGAAATATTCAGAATCCGACAATTTTTCCCCTTGCAATATTCATGGTATAAAAGGATTGCTCCTGTGAAAAATAAGCCAAATATATTTTTTTATTTTTAAATTTAGGGTTTTCTTTTATCCTACTAGGGTGTACTACAGTCTATTTTATAGCAAAAAGGTCACTAGACAAACGAAGCTTTGTAACAAAAAGCCAGGCACTGATACATGGTAAATCTCTGCTTTTTTTCTCTCTTATCTTCACTTAGTTGCATCACAAGTAACAAGAATGAAAAAGGCCACAGTTCATATATTTTCACCATTACATAAGTCTATAATACTTGAAATGAATATGGTCAAACCAGCACTGCACAAAGGTGAATCAACTTCAAGTCCCATGAGAAAGAATACGTCATTAAAAAAAAGAAAGAAAAAGAAAATAAAACAAGAAGCTGAAAAGGTCTTGGTGCCCCTTTGTGTTGGAATTCATCACATTCCATCTTTAGAATATCTTTTTTTCCTTCTCCTCCTCAAGTCAGTCAGTGGACTATGTTCAATTTTTTGTGCTTTTTCTCCCCTGATGAATTCTCTTCGTTCCTGGCAACGTATGTATTGTTCACTTTTTGGCACAGATCGCATGGTGCCTATCAGATAGAAGGATGAAAATGGCAAATTCCACCCCACCCGTCACCCACCCTCCAAATGAAATTAAACAAAACAAATCGGAAGACTGCGTCGGTACAAGTTGCATCACCGGTAGCACTGACAGTTGTATAAACATTAGTGTTCCTTGCAGCTACACTTAAGACAAATGTTAAAACCAAAACCAAAACCTTCTAGATGAACAGATTTTCCTAATTAGCATATTCATAAATTACTTGAATGTGGAGGTGGATCACTGACTAAACATTTGATAAGTTCCCACAGAAATTTTTGAGTAGTTGTTGTAACCGTACAATGCCTGGCCCTCAGTGGTCATTAGACAGAAGCCACCACTGCATCTACCAAGAAGTGGTCACTACTCCTGAGGAAACCTGCTTGAAAATGACGGAAGCAGCAAAGATCAAGCAATTCTTCATGCCTTTTGTCTTAGGGCTAAATTAATGCATGACTGTAGAACCCTCCCCCCACGAATACTAGCGTGACTGGTTATTCTTCAAGTTTAAATTCCATTATGGAACATGAAACCTTCTCAAAAACTGTAAGACAAGACTGACTTTTCATACATAATGAGCTTTTTCTTGGATGTATGTAGATCATGATCACTACTGGTGTTTAGAATCATGTTTTACCCATAAGCACACACTGAAATATGGATTTTTTTTAAAAAAGTCCATCTTTTTGTCACTGTTTATGAGTAATCTGGACTGTGCATGCTTAAATGCTGACATAATTAAATAAAATGATTAAATAAAATGATTATGCCGGAAAACGATTAAATAAAATAAAAATGTCATTTTGATTTGCATGTGCTACCTAGCTTCTATCTTATTAAGTTTCCTAATGTAACATTTTAATAATTTTAGATGCATTTTAACCTTCTGACAATCCACACAGGCAACAGTTTTACAGATTGAATGGGATGATGGTAGACCTAAGCATATTGTGTGGGGGAGGGACATGCACAGAAACGGTGGTAGTGGAACCGGTTGTCCATTTGGGTACTTTCAATTTTTAGAATAAGCTCAGCTCCTGAAGAAATAATTTCCTCCAAAAACTATGTGTTTTTTCAAAATTTTGAATCCTAACCAATATTAATATGTTTGACAGTTAAAACAGAATCCTCCACATTGTTCAGAATACCAGTAAATAAATGAATTACGGTGACCACACCCGTTATCGTTTAAAGAAAGTCTATTAAAAGTACAACATGGGTAATGAAATACTTATCTGTTGTTCTCAATCTAATATAGATATCGCTCTATTATGCTTTTAATTACAATGTTTTTAATCCACCTCCACATTTGAGAAACTTATTAACAAATAAAAGCGTTTTAAGGTTTACTGCTAGTGAACATATTTACAATTTTCAACACGTACACATAGGTAATCAAAAAGTTTATGGGATATGTAGAGGGTGGTTCACATGGTAAACTATCATATTTGTTCTTTACGTTTTTCAGAAACATAAAAATCAGATTCTCATATCATTTAAATGAGATTTGTTTCAACCACACAGTTAAAAAAAACAAAAAACGGATACAATGTATTAAAACACAGAATAACAAGAGTCTACATGTAAAAATATAACTTTTACGTACACAATTTCAAAATAATGATACGTTTGCCATTTTGTTGCATAAAATTTACAAATGCATTTTTTCATTACTATGTAACTGGCAAAACTGGAGAACAGATGGAACGTCTAGACCGTTTTCAATGGACTTATGGCATTTCCTCAGTGCTGATAGGTGGAAAATCTACTTGAACAGGGAGAGTTCGTTTAAAAAATACATGCCAAGTTGTGTGGCTATTAAAAAAAAGAAGAAGCTGGAACTGGAGACAAAAGGATGCTGACAAAGACATAATTGGGAGCACTATTTGTTAATTGTTCTACATACCAAGGTCAATCTTTAGCAGATTTGCAATGGATACTAGTTCGGTTGCAGCCAAAGCTAGTTATCGGATGAATTGCTGTGCCGTAGGTTTGATCTATGCTATTATATATATGTTCAGTAAAAACTTGATTCATACTGGCCGGAGAAATACTGTTCTGCTCCCCCCTCCTCAGGAAAGTGCAACTTAATGCTTTAGAACGGGTAAGGCTTGTTCTAACGCTGCATGATAATTGGATACTGGCATTTTTTCCCCTCCATGAATGAAGGAGGAGGCAGCATATGGTCTACCTTTCAGGAATTCCACCCCCCCTGCCTTTTTATTAAAAATGTTTTTTAAAAAAATCAAAATCTGTCACACAACCAGCAGTGTTCCCCGTTGAAATCCTGCCCGCCCCCGCCCGAATCTGACCATGTATTCTGAAACGCCTCGCTGCAAACCGTATTTAGGCTACACACATTAAAGTTAACACTTTTACTGGTTTGTTAAATCAAGCCATCTTTGCTTATGCGATGTTTTCGATGATATAAACATTGGAAGGCACAGCGGTAACATTTGTAGCATTCTAACCTTGTACCTCTGAAAATCCCAGAAAAGGGGTCTAAATGATAGCACTATATTTATGATGCGGACCCCAAAAATGACAGTTTTGGGCCAAGTCTCAGTTGCTTGCAGTTGATCTGCACATGACACGACTTGCTGAGTCCTGCGTTCTCCCTAAAAGCCTGAAGAAACCACTCTCTACTTATTTATGAATGATAAACAACATCAGGGTCAGCGTTTCATCCTGAACTGCCCCTCCAGCAACAGAGTTGGCACTACAGGTTACAATAAAGAACCAAAGGAGCGGGAGAGAAATAAGACAAAAGAAAAAAAAATCCTTATTTACAGTAAAATCTTTTTTTAAAAAAGTTAATCCGTATTTTTTTTTATTTTTACAGGAGCAAAAAGTCTGAAACAAATGAACAAAAGCTTACCATATTCACTAATTTTAATATATATATTTATTTATATATATATTTATATATATTTATATATGTGTGTGTGTGTTTGTGTGTGTGTGTCATAGGTCTATAAGATCCATCTGTTCCTCCTACCCTAAGGAATGGCTAATGTCATCACTTCAGTTTTCATTAGGACGTTTGCTGGTTTTGCAAATATGTGGGTAGCAATGCTTCCCTTTTTAATATCCAGTAAGTATAAACACTAGCTGACTAGTACACCAACGAAAACGTTCATTTTTTCTTCAGAAGTACACTTTTCATTATTGCAAGTTTACAATTTTTTTAAATTAAATATTTTTTCAGACTTACAAATTAATTATATTTTTTTTCCAAAAGAAGTTTAGGCACAAATGCATTGTCCCACAGTGTGGAGAAGACTGCCATTCAGTCTCTGGGCCGCACGAGCACAGCTCCTAACTTATGCGTGAAACATTCCGAGTGATATGTTGACGAGAGGCGCCTCTCAAGTTGCACTTTTCTTTCTCTTTTTGTTTCGAAATCGGGAATGCTGAAATCTCTTGCGTCTGTAATTCATAACTACTCAGACTTGTCTTATTATATTACAAAAAGGGGGGGTTAAGTGTTTATGTGGTTTTTAAGATAATACAGCTGTTAACGAAGTGGTCTCTGGTTTACATGAAGAGAATGTGGCAACTTGGACCTGCAAAAGAAGAGAGAAACATTTAGATCGGCCGAGAAGAGTAAACACCATGGTAGCTCTTGATGTTTCGTAAAATGTACTACAGAAGACGCCTTGCAAGCTATTTCATTGTGAGCTTATGGCACCATTGGAAGAGACATTGTTATTGTTGCTATTATTTATTTGATTTCTAAAACTGCAACCAAGAGTCCCAGATGAGACTCTCTGGGAGGTGTACATCCAAGATCTAATGACATATTACAAGTATGTAATGCACCGTGATCAACACCTGAATTCTCCTTTGAGGAAGGACAAGGCCTTCTTCATCGTGGCACCTGACGCAGCGGAATGCTGTTTATCTGGTGCCAACATTATCATCTTTTGGGCACCAAGTTTAAGACTTTCCTCTACTGCCAGGCATTTGACTGCAGCTGCTGTGTCCCCGTCCCCATCTCCGTCCCCTTCGTCATCTCCATCTCCATCTTCAAAGTTAGTCCCACATACAGTCCATTAAACTAAACTAACTTGAAGATGAGATGGACAGTAGACAGACGGGTCCAGCAAAGTATGTTTGGAGAGGAGTATATCCATCCTATATTTCCCCAAAGCTGAATCTCTCTGGGCGGTTTACAACAATGATAAGGCATTTCAAGATTTCCCCTCTTTCAAATCTGGTACTGGTTGTTTTATTGTTACTCATCCTAAATCCTTTTAAACTGTTTCAAATCCTTGCATTTCAAACTTCTTATTATGCTGTGCTTTTCCCAGAGAGCTCTGGCTACCAAGCAGTATAGAAATACCATGAATATAAAGAAATTGATGTTATGTATTTGGGAGACTTGTATGCCAAAGATGACCTAGGGTGAGTTTTTGCATAAGAACGTAAAGTTCCAGGTTCACAGATATTTGATGGAGCACCTACTTTCATACAAGTGATCCTACAGAGTGCGGAACCCCAGAGAGGTTTTCCTGGCACCAACACTGTATTCTTTTCAGTGCCAGCCCAAAACTGTTTTATTTTCCCAACATTTTCAGGTTTAAATGGTCATTTTAATTGGGGTTTTATAGGAGATGCTGCTGTGCTTTATTTTATTGTAAGACGTCCTGAGACTCTTGGTAAGAGAATGGTATAGAAAAGCTCTAAACAAACAAACAAACAAACAAACAAATAAGTTGCATTGCGTGGGAAATGCATTTCGCATGGCTCTGTATACCAGTTGCTGAGGAAGGAGAGCTGGATGGTGCTACGGTCCTCGTGGACTACCTGTGGGCTACTGGTTGGCCTCTGGGCAAACAGACTGCTGAACCACAAGGGCTTTGGTCTGGACTAGTTTGGCTCTTATGCTACCTACCTCTGAACTGACTCTCAGTGCTACATTTTGTCATAATTATGGCAAATCCATTCTTGTTGTTGTTATCCCAGTCCCAAAGGAAAATGTTGAACTGCAAATCAATCACTGAAATATTTCCTGAGCAAAATGCCACACAAACAATTTAAACAGTAACAGAATTTTAAAAAGAGGACAGGACAGGACCCAAAAAAGGTAGAATTAAAACTGATGAGGACAAATTAAAAAACAGGCCCAAGAGTCACTGGGGATGGGCTGAAACTAAACTTCCACAAAGGAGAATTCCGTACCTGGGGTGCCGCCACAGAAAAGGGCCTATCTCACATTCCTATCATCCCAAACTCTTTCAATGGTGGGATGAACAACAAGTCAGAAAATGTTTGCGATCTATCGGCAGCTTCATATGGGAGGAGACAGCTCATCTTTCTTGCATTACAGTTGGTAAACAGAATGTAGTAAATCAACTTACCTTTTTTCTTTTTCTTTTCTTTTTTTACATCTGTCCCATATGATTAGATGTGTCTCCCATTCCAGGGTGGGGTCCTGCCAATGAAAGTGGAGGAGGGTCTGAAGATACCTTCTCTTCTTCCCTTCTTTTCAGACACGCTGCTTTAGGATTCAGATTCCTTTCTGTGGGATCAAAGTCAAAGGGTATTTTAAACATCGAAAGCACCTTGTCTGGCTTGCTTCATGTGCTGGTGTGACCAATGCCCTTTACTCTGCACCTGGTATCTTCATTCTTTCATGTTTCCCGAGTAAGTGCAAACATTATCTCTTAATTTCTTAACTGCACATTTAAAGCATGTCTTCTTTGTTCTGTCTTAAATCCTTCTTTATCAAAGCTTATGAATATTCAGGATAGAGATTCACTTACTTCTTCAGAACTACTGTTACCCAGCTCAGACCCATCAGAAGATGACGTTATGGTTAGGCAAACTAGTCTTGCTGAGAAGCAACTAACCGATGTTAATTGGCACTGGGGCACACTGTATTTTATTAATACAAAGGCACAAAAATCCATCTAGAAACCAAACTGTTCAGCAGAAGTTTACTGATGTAAGTAGCCACAATCCAGAGAAGGTACTGAGTGCTTGAAATCAGATACACAGTAGACTTGATGTGAATTCTGCTAAGGGTTAACAGGCTCAAAATTGGGGGCTCACTCATTAGAATCTACAAATTCTTTGCAAAATGTGGTTGGGGTAATTTGCACGGTCAGATGGGAACACCTTGCTGCATGTGGCGGCTACCATGTGAGTGAGGCTTCAAGAAGCGCTCACATGGAAGCCTTATTATGAGATGAGCTAAATTAATTTGAGCACAATCACTGGGCCATAGCTAACGCTTCCATATCACAGGTGGACTGCACTCAGAAGAGGCGTTCACAAGGTGTCCTTGTGAACGGGATCCATCACATCCATCCCTGATGACCAAAGCGGTTAGGCAAGCCTGTTCCTCCCCAGCTGAAATGGTTTCCACTGTGAGATTTGGCCTTTCAACTCTTCCTCAAAGGAATGGCCTAAAGATACTACCTAATTTATCAAAGTACTTGGCTGAAATTGAAATTGACAGACAGTTCAGGTCATGTATCAGCTGTGGGAGGATGCTGACAGATAAGTGACCTCTATGCTAAAGGCCCATGACTCTTATGAGGGGATCAAAGCATTGAGGAGGGGGTGCTCTATTTAAAAGGCAAAATAATATTTTTAATAACTTGTCATTAAAATGGTGTCCATTGACCCAGATTTTATTTCTGGTCAGGGCGTCACTTATTTATGTAGTGATTATCCAACAGTCAAGAACTTCCTAATGTCATGATTAGAGAAATCAGTCAAAACAAGAACCTGGGAAACCCAACGAGCAGGAAATGTACCTCAGTAAATGTGACAGTTCATGAGGGAAAACTGGCATCTAACTGACCTCTGACTTGTTGCTCTAAGCTAAGTATAACTGCTACAGCTTGATGCAAGATTAAAAGTTTGGTTTGGGGCTTGTCACTCTTCAGGTGGAGCTGCACCATCCGGCCCAGTTCCTTGAAAGCCTCGTTGATGTCACGGACCCGGAGGCGCTCACGGGCATTGTTGGCCATTCTCCTTTCTTTCTCGCGCTCTGCTTTTTGCTCTGGTGTAAGGTCTTCATCATCATTATTGCTGAGAAGCAAACAGAACACAGCATTGTCTAATGGTGTTAAGAACCTTGGGCAACATCTACAATAGTTCACCTTCTGTGGTTCCACAGAATGAGCTTTGCTAGAAGTAGAGCAATTTTCTAGAACACTGTTTACACAGGGTTGCATCATAGCTTTTAAAAATATCACAGCTTTTCACATAGCATGGTAATACAGAAGCCCAAGAGACATACCAAGTCAACAATATATTTCATATTTTGTTTGTTTAAATCTTAAGCACCTACAGAAACCAAGCCACATCTTAGCATGACTTTCCCATAATCCATGGAGAAGTTCACCTGCACAAGCCCCACTGAGGCAAAACTAAATTTTGTAGGGCTTGCACAGGACAATTTCCCACGCTCACAAAGAGAGCCAAAGAGAAATGGCAATAGGGTAAGAACACACAAACAAGGGGAGGATCTCAATAGCTGCACTGTGGGATCTGCTAGTTACATCAAAGACTGTGAAAATTACACCATTAAGCCCTAACTAAGTACTATCATTCATTGCATAGTTCATCTCTGTATCATTAATTCTGAGTGGCCAGACAATTCCTTCAGCTATCTATTCACTGAAGGAATGGAAGGAGTAGAGAAGTTACAGGAAACAAGCACAGCCTTTCCCTACTAGTTATGGCAGTGCATCCAACCTGTATCTGCCTTACTTCTAGCCTTCCTTTCCCCCCTTTTTGTCTTACGTCTAGCCTTCCATTTCATACATCATGTCCGGTGCTACTGATGAATGATTCGTCTACACTGGCCTCATACTTTCTTGTTGATTTCCTATTAACTCTGGCATACCCCAAGTATAAGGTAGCTTATAAATTACATGTGATTCTGACTATAAACTACCTATTTTTCCCTATCCACGGGATCAAAGTGCAAGGACAGACTAGCTGGACCAGCACGCAACCACTTTTCTATTATTCAAGCAATCAAATCTGCACAGACAAGGGTAACCGCAGATCCTTGATGCTGAGAAGCTCCAAGGACAAATGTTCATTAATGTTTTTCCACGTTTCTTAGAACGTGAAGAACAGCTTGCAGGCTGGTGGCAATCCAAACAGAAGCGTGCTTTCTGTGACCATGGATGCCGGTGAACGAATAACACTGGTCTGCATAAGGAAACTGCGCCATTCTTGGGATCAAGATGCCATGAAATCATTCTGCTCAACAAAAGGCCTCAGATGGTTCAGCGCAGGCTTAGCTCTGTTTAACCTGATTGAGGCCACAGTGATTTATCCATTCACAGTTATGCACATAAAAAGGCAGGAGCAAAAACATGTATTCCACTGGGTATAAACTGTTATACAAATGGCATCTGTTTTAAGACACATTCATTTTCATATGTAAATTTCAAGCAAATTATCGGTGAATCTAAGTAGTTACAATAGTGTGTACACACACACACACACACAGATGTTTATAAATGTAAAATGCCCTTGTTTTTTCAAATTCCAGCCCATCCAGCGTACACGCATCCAAACAGATACTCTCAGTACTACCAGAAAGGGCTATCAGCTCCTATTAACTTTTGCTGGGCAAGAAAAAACTGTGAAGTTTCTTCCTGTTCTGTTCACTTCATCAAAGTCCAATAAAGGAATTAAATGAAGCGACACTATTATATACTGTTACCTAGATCTTGACCTAGTAATTGATTTGATATCCTTCTTGTCATCGTCTAACTTCTTGTCCTCAGAAGATTTTGCGTCCTGAAGGTTTTCATCTCCTTCGTCATCGGATTTGATTTCGGAGCTCCCTGAAGATACACTTTGCCCTTGAAGCCCAGTTGGCATGCCTATGGGGGAAAACATCATTACATGGACACATACCTCCCTGCAATCGCACTTTTGCAACACCATTAAGAAATCTGTATGCGCGTTGCTCACAATGGATATTCTGCAGAACTCTCTCTTCTACCCTTAATATTGGGAGCAATCTTTTGTGATAGGGGGGTTGGAGAGAGCAGTTGTTAAGGCCGCTTTCCCAGCTTTGATGCTGTGGGTCTGGTCTATTTTGTGTTGCTCCATAAAGATTGATACTTTCATTGCCTAGAGATCACCAAATTAACCCCTGAAGGAACTATAATTGTGAGCCAGCAACACAAGCATTCTGTAATCTTTATTCAGGGATACAAATTGCAGTACTGGCAGAGGATTCTTCTTCAGCAGCATCGAAAGGCCCTGTCCTCCTTGGTCTATCATTCTGTGCTTACACCTAAGATGCATTCAAAGGCAAGCAAAGACAGGAGGCAAGATTGCCTTCCTTGAAAAACAGCCACAATAAGGTTTAGCTCTACACATACAGTGTGTACAATGGGAGCTTCCTTTTCTGTCTGCTGCAATGGAATTTAGCATTTAGCCAGGGATGGTGTCCTTGCGTTTGGGCTAATCAGGGAATGGCCAGAGCGAACCGAAGGAGAGACTGCACCTCTTTGGTCAGTCTGAAGCACAAAAAGACTCCCAGTGAACAGCAAAGAAATTAAGCACAAGGTTCATTTCCTAGCAAGTTTGCTGCAAAATAAATATACATGTTTACTAAGGTTCCACCCAGCTCTAGCATTTGATAGGGATGATTATATATTTGGGCATTTTGTTCAAACGGGATTGATTTAAAACAGTATTTCTTTCTTTCTGTTCTGCCATATAAACATTTGCTATTTTGCATTAAAATGAAGAAAGAAACTACACTGCAAACTGGAGATGAATTATGTTTTTTCCTAGAAAACTGATGGCACAAGGGGAACACATTAAACCATGGTGCAGATTCTCTTTTCTCTATTCTCAACTACGTTGTCACAACAAATTTTGTAAGACCTTATAATGCTACGAAAACGTCAAGCCAGCCAGTGTGGGGTAAAAGAAATGTATTTGCACTGAGTGTGATCCTATGCATGGCTACTCAGATAGGGGCTCCACTGAACTGAACTGAACTTACTCTCAGGTAAGTGTATACAGGACTGCAACATAAATACTTTAGATTGGGAAGCTACTTTAGATCAAGACTGGACTGTTGGTCCAGTGAACTCAGTCTTCCATCTGCTAAGTGTTTTCCAGAATTTCAGACAGGGGCCTGGGATGAAGCTGGGACCTTCTGTATGCCAGGGAAGTGCTCTACACCCTTCGGCCTTTTCCTTGATAGTCAAGGTTCCAAGCTGACCTACATCCTGTTTTCAACAGGGCTCCAGTCAGCCTCCAGAACAATATTGTACATGCATGTATTAATATCACAGGAGCTTTTTGAATCACAGAAAGTATCTGGGACATGACGACAATTATTTGGAAGCTTGCACAGGCTGTGCACTTGACCAGCAGATGTACTACTTCAGGCCTCCCAGTTTGCCCCAGTGCGACTTCCTCACTGGGTAATTCATCCAGTCTGCAACCCACAGTCACGTTTGCTCTTGCCTCCTAGAATTACTTTGCTACCAGCGATCTTGCATTTCTGAACTAACAGCTCATTCTGATCAGTGGCTGTGTCAGCAAACAAAAGTGCATTGTCCTTCCAGTAGCTCTGGCAATGCAACCTCTGTGAATTTTCCTGATATTGCAGGGACCTTACAGCAAAGAAATCTGCCAACACCACTGTGCAGGATTAAAATAGAAGACAGGGCTGGTGCTAACCTCTGTATGGATCCGGAGGCTGGTTTAAGTCAGGAGATGTAGCAGACGGCACTGGCAGTTGTGGAACTGGAACCTGGTTTGGCACGAGCGAATGGTTGCCGCGGAGGCCAACAGCATCTTCACGATGAGCCCCAACCTGTAACAGGAGAGTGACGGGAAGATGTCAACAGGAAGGTTTTCAATGAAACAGGGAGAGAAGCAGCAACTCCCAGGGATGCTATGGGGGAATGGAAGCTGCAAAGAAAGGTAGACTTTTAAAAACAATGGCAAGGTTCCCTCTAGCTTTTCACTAGAGGGCGCCGAGGTACTACTATAGGTATACCATATATATATATATATATATATATATATATATATATATATATATATGCAAAAACACTTAACACTCAGTAAGACACTGTGCAGCATATTTAGTGACAAATATGGCAGAGGAGCTCAGGCAGGTAAAACGTCAAATTGTCTCTCCTAGGGTGTTGCAGGAGAGAGCACTGATTCGTACCCATCTGTCTTCTATCATGTCCGCCAACAGATCTGACAATTATCTTAATGCCCATATGCTTAATTGTGGGCTTCTCAATTCCCCCATTGCTATCAGAAATCCTGCAGGAATTTCAATTTGGCATCCAACTTTCATTTTAGGGGATAAGATTCTCGGGCCTGCCAGTCCAGTCCCCCCTCCCTTTCCTACCCACTTTCATCAAGCCAGCTAAGCTTCTGAGGGTGGAAGCTACTGAAGGATATGACATCCACCCCCACCCCCCAATTTTGGCGCCAATGTAATAAAAAAAATCACCTGGCTTTCCAAAAACTAGAAGCCTAGACCCATTTTAAATTGATCTCCGCTGTTATGTCATTAACCACAAAATTCCAGCTCCAGAGGGGTGCTGTTCTTGCCAACACCATGACTCTGGATAATATATCAATAAAGGTTTTATTAACCACACCAGTAATGCCATCATTGTAGGCATGGTGATGTCAGTGTAATGGTACTGCTGGCACGTCTGATTGGGCCAGCCTAATAAAGACGCCTTATTTCATATGTCACACTATGCGGTACACCTGTAAGTTAAATCTGTTACAGAAGTAAGAGAAAATGGACACGCAAGGACACTCTATGCAACACAATCTCGATTGTGTGCAACCACAACACAACCACAATGGTATTTATTTGATTTTGAATTTTAAGGCTGTTTATGCTTTGTATTGTTTTGGGGTTTTACTGCTGCATTAACTTTAGAGTTTCACTGCAGCAGGGAGTGGCATGTAAACTATCACCACTCTCTTTAACAATGAAAGAATAATTCAATAATAAGAAAATCACATTCATTTGAACAGCATTATTGAGAAGCAGGATTTATTGAGAACATGGAAAGTACAGTCACACTGCTCAGAGACTGGAATAAGGAAGACTCTCCCAGTGGAGGCGTCTAAACAGCAGGGTCCCTCAGAGAACTGCAATGGGAGCCATGCTTTTCAAATGACACATAAATGATCTGGCATTATGAGCGAGCAGCGAAGTAGCCAAATCCACTGATGGCACATTATTTAGGGTCGCTGAAACAAAGAGGGATTACATGGAATTCCAAAAAGATCTTTCCACACTGGAAGAACATGCATCAAAAGGATCCCCACTGCAGGTATAAACTGATGGGTTGTCCGCCTGTGGCAAACGACCGAGAGAGACTGGCCCTGTGGTGGACAGCTGCATGAAACCGTCAAGCCAGGGTGCACTTGCTGTGAAAAAGGCAGACTCAGTATCAGGCAGAGTTAGGAAAAGAATAAAAAAAAACCCTGCTGATTTCATACTTCCTTTATAAAATCAATGGTGCAACCACATCGAGAATACTGGGTACAATTCTAGGCACTGCATTAAAAAAGCTTGTTGTAGCACTGGAAAAGGGCAGAAAAGGACAACTAAAATGTTGCAAGGGATGGAACAATTCCCCTGTGAGGAAAGACTGCAAGAGTTAGGATCATCTAGTTTAGTGGAAATGTGATAGAGATGTTCGAAATTATGCACGGTGAGGGGAAAATGAAGAGATGAACATTTCTCTCTTTCTCTTGTAATACTAGAACCTTGGGCTATCACCTGAACTGACTGGTGGGAAATTCAGGACAAGTAAAAGGAATACTTCTTCACATAGTTTAAAATGTGTTATATACTTGCAGAAGATGCAGTAATGGCCACCAATTTAGATGGCTTTAAAAGGCGACTGGATACACTCTGAGAGTGAACGTATCACTGGCTGTAGTTACCGATGGCTATATGTAATGTCTGGTTTCAGAGGCAGGATGCCTATGCATACCAGTTGCTGGGGAACATGGGCAGAAGGGTGCTGTTACGTTCATGTCCTGCTTGTGGGTTCCCATTGGCATCCCCACTGTGCGAAGAGAATGCTGTGGAAGATGCTTGGTTTGACTCGGCACTGGTCTTTAGCTTTTATGTTCTTAAGCTTTTATTTCAAGATTAGAGAACTCAAAAGGTGATAACAGCACAACCTTCCGCTATGACAGAACTCAGCAAGAAGGAGATAGTCTTAAATTTATGATAATCTTTACACTCCAAATAGATCTAGAATGGTTTAAATAACACCCCCAAATACAATGACTTTTATTTAAGATATTCCTTTTTTCAGCTGGGCATAGTTTCATCCTACACCCAAGCTCTGTGGATTGATACAGTATGGTATTTTGATCCTTTATCATTCACAAATCAGTATTGGTGAAGATTAACAAAACCAAGGAATGTTTCTAATCAGACTCAGAAGACAATATAGGCTAATTGTTACCAGGAAGGCAAAACTGAAAGATAGATTAAAGAGAATTCTGCCAAAGAGGAGTCAAGGCCAGAAGAGAGAAAGAGAGAGAGGGATGTTCCCAGTAGAAAAATTGCACTTAATTGAAAGCAAGTGTAAATGACAATTTTTCATTGTTTTATTTACTTTTTTAGAAAATCAAGGTCATGGCCTCTTAGCATGATGATGAACTGAATGCATGATCAGGTGTTATTCGCAACATTTTCCAACTCGATTCAATGGCCATGGTTTGAGAAGAAATTCTAGAATGTTCAGAGAAATAGAAGGAGCCCTAAGTCTAGAATGAGGAGTCCGAAGTTGAGAATTTACAACTGAATGTAAGTTCAGCAACTGGATGCCACTGGGGCTAACTCTTCCCAAATGGTGCCCCCACAGTGGCAGAAGAGGGGTTGTGGAGGATGAAATACCTGTGACAAAAGTACTTGCTAGTACACATTTTGAGTTATTGGGGCTGAATTGTGCCACCACTGCCATGACTCCAATTGGCTGCTGAACAAATGTTAGTCAGGAAAATTGGTTGCTGACCAAATCTTCACAAAGATGAAAAGAAGCTTTGAAATAAATGGAAAAGAGAAGAGGGTTAATGAATTTCCAAGATTTAACAGAACCACGCACATGTTGTGGATTGATGTAAGGAATGAAGCTGCAGCTAACCCCATTATTTATTTTTATTTATTTAAAGCTTTTATATCCCGCTCTTTACAGTGTCTCAGGGCGGTGAATTTTTAGTGAATAATTATGAAATTCAGTGAATTTATTTCTGTGAATAAATATAATGCAGACATTAAAACTTCCAAACAAGTATCTGTCTTTATTTTGGGATGGAACTAATATAAGGTTTATAACAATTTCATCTGGATTGATTTGATGACTTGAAAAAGAAAGGAACACATTATCAAGATAATCATGTAAGTCACTCCTGACCACAGGAGTGAAAGAGCTTTCACCACATGTAAAATCTCTACTAACTATAAGTCAAAATTTTCACAGGATGGGCACAAACCACCCAGTTGACATGACTGGGAGAAAAACAACAACACACCCAGTCAATTCAATCATGCATGTAGAAGATAACATTTTCTAGCAGGTTCCCTACTAGAACACAATTTTCGTTCTTTGTTTTTAATTAAAAGAGGGAATGGATCTCTATTTCTGAATAAAAGGGAAAGGAGTATTTTATACTTTAAGAACTACTCAACTGATTATAGCACAAAGTTTGTTTTCAGTATTCAGTTAAAAACTCCTAAACTGCAGTGAATACTAGAAACATGTTGGTATTTGATCCAGTCTGTTTGGAATATCTAAACCTTCTGATGCCTAAGATTCCAGTTGCTGTCCCTGAGACATAAATATGCCCAACTCAGCCAGGTCAAAGCTTATAATGTACATTTTGCATGTGTATATGTGTGGATTAGGGTAAGTAGTACCTGAAAAGCCAAGTCCTGTTATTTCTGTAATGATTTACGTCCGTCGCAGTTGGCTGTTTTTGTTTACATTTAGTAGCCCCATCTGAAACTGGACTTTGAACACAAGCAATTTCAAGAGAATAATAAAGAAGGATAATGAACTGAAAGGTAGATCAGAGAAGATCAAAACTTTCCCATCCACCAAAACACACTCACAACTTCAAGTATGTGTCCCATATACTGTATATATTACTAAAGGGGTGAATATACATTTATCACAGTGGAGAAAGACAGAGAATTCAATAGGATTGTTTCATGTGCTGAAAATTTCTAAGATATGTGGAGAAGAAACCTAGTTAAGAAGTCATGGAATGAGAGGAAGACCTTATTCAGCTACTGATTCCAAACACACATGTGAATTTTCTGTGAAGTACTGATTGTGCCAATTCTATGCCATTTGTTTTCAGTGTAAAAGATCAGCCTGGGCATTGTCAAGGTACCAGTGATAGGTTGCAAGGGCTTCCAGACATCGAAAGTCCAATGTATTTCTGGTGAAACTCCAGTAATGGCAACAGAAGTTTGGCAAGGGATCCTGGTGTAAGAGGATTCATTCCATCCAACTCTGGTATTGTAAACCCTACTTATGTATATACAGACCTATGAAACTGCCTAGTACTGAGATCAGTGGTCTACCCATTCCATTTTGTTGAAGTTTCTAGATGGAAACTCATTCCAGCATCAGCTACCTGAAAACATTTCAGTGCTGATGCTCAGAACAGGGCTTCTGACCTTCTGCATGAAAAGTACACTCTATATAACCAAGCTTTTCGGATTGTTATTTTATGGCTCCTCTTCTATCTTGTCATGAAATGTCTTTTTTATCTGATTACAGACTGGATATTTTCAGGTAAATG